GACACAGGGCTCATTGAGCGAAGATTGTTTAAAGACGGTCTCAAGGACGTAATGGTGTCTCAGACGCGCGAGCCTCGTATGAGGCGATAGTTAATATGAAATGTGTGTATTCACAATTTTAATGGGGGAGAGTATAACGGGGTTACACGTACCGTTGTAATAAAGAGCGGGTCACACAAGTTAGTGTGACCGTACAAAGGTGTGGATAAAACAATTTTGTGTTATCACACTGCACCGCCATTACGAAACAGGACTGCCAGTAGTAATGCATATTAATTAGGTTCTACTATTTAATAAGGAAAACCTAAGATTTTCGATATATGCGGCTCTGCCAAAAATAAACCGATGAATACAGCTTCAATTTAGGGCGGAAGAGCGTCTTTACGTTGGTTGAGGTTTAAAGTATTCTTGGAGGTAGCGGATTGCGATCCACTACACTCGTTCATGTTCTTGTATACAACGTTAGGTAGGTGATCTTAGCTTAGCTTTCTTCGAGAAATGAGCTACGGCAGCCACACTGCAGGAATATCTTTATGTCGTGCATCACTTTTTCGCTGGGAATCCCCAGGGCAAAGAGTTAGTGACTTCCACAGTCAAAAAGAGTCTTACAATCTAATCAGCTACCCATATAATATTTTCGGTGTGGGCGCGTGCGTGTAGGTATGGCTGACGTGAAGGTATCACCGTTACTTCTTACCACCTTTAACGATCCAGTATCTCTTTTCAAAAGTTTCGAGCTTTTTGGGTTGAACAATGCATGTCCCAGTAAGCTTGCCGTACTAAGCAATACAAGGTCAATTACTTTATATTAACGGGTAACGGGGAATTAGGATTTGATTCCGGAGAGGGAGCCTCAGCTGCTTGTTCATCCTTTTGCTCAAATAGAAGAAGATGGGATGACCCCCTTAGCGAAGTCCGTCTTTGGACGCGCGTCAAACGCGAGACTGATATCGTGACAGACGCAAAGATTACGACTACACGTATTCTCGTTCGCAGGCTAATATAGCCAGTACACCAAGAGAAGAGCTCCTTCCAACCGCGGATCGTCCTCCCCGCCACCTCGTTCTCGACGAGGTTGTATCAATTCCCCTGTCGACCAAGAAGAGGAGGAGGTACCCGAAGACGTATTCTCTTTACTTCTTCTTTGGCTGCTCCACAATCTTTGTCTAATTTAGAATTGCGATTGACGAAGATGGAGAAATGCCTTTCCGTGGTGAACCGGCAAAACGGCCAAGGTGTTTGGTCGCGTGTCGAGGACGCGACAAATCGTGAATGATACTTGGCGGGTTGACTACGAGGTTCGCGATCACGCATGGCCTCACTGAAACTCGCCTAAGGATGCACTTGTATATTGAATTTAGCGATTAGAGCAGGCTTTACAAGCTCCCCTCCTTCTCCGCCTGCCGCCGCGTATGATGTAGAGCCTCCTGTCGCTCTAGTTCGGGTGGATATGTTCCAGTAGTAATCGCCAATGCAAGCAGCAGCCATCTGCCTCTTGTCGACGATCTGACTCACACAATCGTTCGTTTGGTCCCGACGTTCACGATGATCTTCGTGATTCTGAAACTGAGGCTGATGCGAAGACGTCAAGGGGTTCGACCTTTGACACTAAAACCAAAGCCGCAGCTCTCAAGCCACCTTTAAGTCAGACAGCTTTTCATACACATTAAAATCGCGCCGTCGCGATGGTAAGGCTTAAGGAGACCTTTGTTGAACGTTGGATGTGGCCTTAGCCAGCTTGGCTAATCGATAGTTCAAGCAGTTGCATGGCATGACACTACTCGGAATGAAACAATAAAGCGAGGTAATAGCTTCGAACTATGAGTCTATCAGACGATGCTTGAGACCGCATCGTCTGATAGACTCATAGTACTAAGAAGTACATTATCCCCAACAAAAAAGACATTCACCTTGACTTTTTCGTCTAACAGCGTAATTGTTTTTTAAATTTAGCGCATTTGCCATTGCATATCGCATCCTGTGATCACCTTCGCACGGCTCATGATGAATTAGTTCAGGCCGTCCTTGTACTTGCGCTTCTCATTTGCATCATTGATTGTTTCAATCTGAAAGGCAACAATCTGACGGGCTCGTCCACTCACTTACATCGGAGACACCAGCTATCGCACAAAGCGGTAACTGCGGGTGCCGCAAGTCATTCATAAAAATAGCATTGATTCAGTAGTCAAATAAATTAGATTATTCATAGCAAACTCTACCGATGGTAACATCGAATTCCATTCTGCAGGATTTTCCGCACAGAAACTTCTCAGCACATCGGCGACCATGTTCTGTTTGCCGATCGGTCTCCGGCTGTACGGCAGTGGACATATCCAAATGAGTGCCAAGACTTCAAAACAATATTTCGTAAAACATCCGTGAATCGGTATCACGATCAGAGATGATGGCGTCTGGCAACCCGTGATTGCGAACAACGTGATCAAGCAACAATCTAGCCGAACCTTCGGCATCGATGGAATTGGGACATGGAGCGATGCGAGCCATTCTGTCGACGATGCCGAGCACTCCATTTTGACCATCAGCATTCTCAGGGAAAACAAGATAAAGGCGAGAATGGACTGACTTTCAACAGTCGGTAGGAACAGGGGGACTCTGCAGTGGTACTTACATGTAACGTGCAACCTTCACGCTCTGACAGACATTGCATTTCTTCATGTATCGTGCAATATACTTGTACATGCGGAGCCACCAATTGGGCACTGAGAGACTAGTATATTTTCTCACGGCCAAAGTGACCGGCCATCGGCGTATCATGCACCTCGTGCACGATCTTGCACTTCAACCCATCGTCGTGGGGAGCCATAATCCGTGGCACGTCGCTATATGCAGCTTCAAAGTGATGAAGACCATCCTTCAATGCATAACGATACATCCGTGATTTCAGGTGACCAGGAAGCCAGCCATGGAGTTTCATATCACTTGATGAGAGTGCCTTCATGATCAGATCACACCGTTCATCTTCAACATATACTCGACGTATTATATCGAATAGCTAGCTCATATTGCGGACGACGTGACATTCGTCAGCCAGCACATTCGGTTTTTCCGGTTTATACGCAACCGTATAGCTGTATGCTGCGAAGAATCACAACCAGCGAGCCATCAGCTGTGACAAGTGAGGAGACTGAATTGTATATTGCAAGCTTGCGTGCTCTGTGTAGACGACAAACGGGCTGAACCCAAGAGGTGAACACGAAACTTCACCAGAGCAAACTTCATTGTCATTAGCTCCTTTTCGTAGACAAATAATTTATTCTGCATACTCTAGCTGTCACGACTGAAACGACACGATACGATCGTGTCCTTCTGAGTCCTTTTGCGATGGTGTACATCCGATTGCAAACTTAGAAGCATCAGACACCACGCTTTACGGCTTCGTATCATCTAGTAAAGCAAGTAACAGTGCTCCCCTCAAACTGTTCTTGACCACTCCCATGGTACGTCTTTCTTGAGCAAGTGATAGAGGGTGTACCATCTCCGCGAGAAGCAATACAGGTAACTGATAAATGCAATTCAATTTCTCGAATCCCTTTGATCTCGAGGCGTTGGCCACTCCACGATTGCTTTGACGTTTTCATGGTCTACACAGACGCCGTGTACACAAACATAACAACCGAGCACTGGTAATTCGTTAGCACCGAAATACACTTTGCACGATTTCTCGCATTGAGTGTTCACGCCTACATCCCAGCCCCGCACGGAAGTGTTCCACGTGCATTTCTTTGGCAGATCTGTCATC